AACAGAGAGAGGGCGTTTCAGGAGCGATTTTCTGGGCTACTTTCCATTGAGCACAGGATAGTGAAAGTTGGACTGTTGTTGTTTCCAACCTTGCTTTTCTTTTGGTGAAATAACAATAACAACAGTATCAACAGTAATAACAGCAGCTCCTACGAGCTAATTGAGCACCTACTATGTGCCTGGCACTCTGCCAGGTGCTACCCATACATTATCTCTAATCCTAACACAACCACTTCAAGGTTGGTATTATTATCACCACTTTCCCAATGAGGAAATTAAGGCTTAGAAAAGTTAAATAATAATGAAAATGATGAATACTCCTATATTTGAGTTCCTTTTATGAGCCAGGCATTTAAAAAAATCTTATTTAATTACAAACGCCCTACAAAGTAGGTGTTATTATTTCCATTCCAGTCGCGAGGAAACAGCCTCAGAGAGATGAAAAACCAAGCTGTCCAAAATCACACAACCGATGAAAGGCAGAGCTGGACATCAGGCCAAAGCCTGTTCACCTCTTATGCTCCTCCATTCCCTTTCTATCAAACCATTTGCTACTCTTTGAGGGAAGCATCATATTGAGATTCTGGCTGGAGACAGCCCTGGGGAGGTTTGAATGAGAGGAAAGTGACACACGGCCTAAGACTCATCCACTCATCCAGACCCTGGGAAGCTGACCTTCTCCTGGGGCTGACTCTGGAAGTGCAAAAATAACAACTGACGGGCCCGGCCCCGTGCCGTAGCGGTTAAGTGTGCGATCCACTGCTGGCGGCCGGGGTTCGGATCCCGGGCGCGCACTGATGCACTGCTCGTCAGGCCGTGCTGTGGCGGCGTCCCATATAAAGTGGAGGAAGATAGGCACAGATGTTAGCCCGGGCCAGTCTTCCTCAGCAAAAAGAGGAGGATTGGATGGATGCTAGCTCAGGGCTGATCTTCCTCACACACACACAAAAATAATAATAATAATAATAAATAATAATAATAATAATAACTGATGCCTATATGGCACTTACTATGAACCATTTTAGATATAACAACTGTCTTAATCTTCACAAGAACTTTAAGAAGTAGGCATTGTTATTATGCCCATTTTATAGATGAAGAAACTAAGGCCCAAAAAAGGTAAATTGCCCAAGGAGGGGATTACACAAGAGCATGAATACCAGGAGACAGTGATCACTGGGAGCCATTTTAGAGGCTGCCTACCATAGTTACATAGTAAGTGGTAGAACAGGGATTCGCACCCAGAAGTCAGACTACAGAGACCATGCTTTTAACCTCAAGACTATGTGGCCTTTTTGTTTACCAAGCAATGATTGAATCCCTACTATGTGCCCAGCCTTGTGCTAGGCACTAGGAGTACAGAGATGAAACTCATTCCGTATCCAAGTTCATTTTTTATTCCATACCTGGATTTCCAATTAATTTGGCACCAATTGGGTGACAGGACTCTTCTGTCAAAGAGCTAGGACACAGGGCTGGGCTCCAGGCAGAGATGGGAGACTAGAAATTCCCACAGAGAAATGACATAACACAGGTAGAGTGAGAAGAGTTGAGACCTGGTGGCAGTGCAGGAACTCAGAAATCCTACCTGGGTCCTCTAGATCACCAGTCTGGAAGGGTGGCTTAATTCTAAACCCTAGAGGACAAGATTTAGGGTCTGAGCCTGTAGATCGATGGGAGGAGTCTCATCTGTGGTGTTGGTTCTGAGGCGCTCAGGAAGCAGAGGCAAGGGCATGGGAGGGGGTGGACCAAATACTGCTGCAGTGTTTCATAGGTACCAACACACAGAGCTTTTGTGTAGATATGGCAGACTGAATATTTTTCTCAATAGTGCCTAAAATTCCCAGTGTTAGATGTTCACTCACTCACTCATCCATTTCTTCATTCCTTCATTAATTCATTCATCCACTCACTTATTCATGAGCTGGAGAAAATTGTATTTGCCAGAATTCTTAGGAAGAAGTACTATATATGGTCAGAAGGAATACTCTGATAAGCTGCTTGAGGTAAAGTGTAAGACACCCAAAGACCGTGCTCAGTGAACAGAAGATGGCAATTCATATGCTCTCCAAGGATGCTGGGTGTGTTAAGTGCAGATTTTGTTTTGCTGAGTAACATTGTGCAAGTCTGGGCCAGAGCTGTATTGCTGAGAACGTGGAGAAGCTTAGCCCTGCCAGAAACATAACTGTTATGTTTGATTTCTCATTTCTTCACATCTAATTCATCTCCATGCCCTGTAATTCACTTCTTAAATACCTCTTGAATCTGTTTCTACTCCTTCCCCATTGCTACTACTCTGGTTCAAATCCTTATCGGGTCTCACCTGAATCACTGCCAAGATCTTCTAACCAGCCTTCCTGCTTCCCATCTTTTCTCCTAGTCCCTTCTCCATATCATAGTCAGAGAGATCTTTCTAAAATTCATATCTCATCACATTAATCCCCGGCCTCAAAATGTTTGATCCTAAAAGATAAAGTCCAAACCCCCTGATACAGCATTCAAAGGTCTTTCTAGCTTTATTGCCTACCTATTTCCCACCATTCATTAAGTTCTTCTGCAGTACTCACTGGCAGAAACTTTTCCTTCTGCCAAAATACCTTTCCTTCACTGCTGTGCTGGGAAAATTCTTCTTTTGAAAAGTCTCTGTTGTCCTCCTGTTGCCAAATAAGCACATCTTGAGGCGATGTTCCTGGGCTCTGTACACATTCCGCCTGTGGGAGTCGTTATGGTGTCTACCACATTTCCATTTCTCTTCTTTTTTTTTTGGGTGTGGGCATGTGACTTGCTTTGGCCAGTGAAATGGAAAAAGTGGAAGTTTAAGAGCCAACACATGACTCACACTTTCTTTCCCTCTGGTAGCTGCTCTGTCAGTCTTTATCCTGGAATAAGAAAGACGAAAAGCAGAGCACCCAGCCAGCCCTTAATGGATATGTAACAATAGTGAAAAATAAAACCTTGTTGTTTAAGTTGCTGAGATTTTGGGACTACTTTTTACCTAACGATCCAGTCTATCCTAACTGATACACTATCTCTGCTTTGACATCTTCCATAACCACCCCAAACCATCACATTTCTACCTTACCCGACTGTGTGACACGTTTTCTTTATACTGCTTATCTGGTACTGATGACATACTGCCACATATTGCCTTAGCCACCTCTACACTTTAACTGAGGCTTGCTGAGGGCAGGGATGGTGCTTGTTCCATTTTTATATCACACAAAGTATGGTTCGCGGCCAAGGCAGAATGTCCATACAGTCAGACAGACTGGTTTTGAATCCCAATTCTTATGCTTAGAGGGCAATCTCTCTGAACCTCAGTTTTCTTATCTGTAAAATGGGAATAATAATATGTACCCTACAAGGTTTTTCTAAAATTTGTGGCTAACAGGTGCAACATATATACAAATAATAGCATGCTGTAGTTATTATTGTTTTCATTATTTATTTTCATAATCATTATAGATGATGTTCAGTGAGTGTTTGTGGATAAATCTTTCATTGATGTGCATTGGACTTGGAATCAGAAGTCCTAGATTTAAGGGATAGCTTTTGTCACCAGCTTTGTGACTTTGGCAAAGTCACTTACCCTCTCTGCATTTTTGTATTCTCAACTATAAAATGTAAATACTGAGACCTACCTCACAGAGAGTTCATAAAATTTAAATGAGATAATATATGAGGAAGTGTTTTATACATGCTCAAGCATCACACACCTAAAAGTGTAATGATACAGAGAAGATTGGCTGGTCCCTCTCATAAGGACTATATGGACATTTGTGTACTCAGTACCCAGTGTACTCCAGTAGCACTTTATTGTTGGTCTTGTCTTTGCTTCCTTATATGTTTGTGTTTCCAACTTGACAGTGAGCTGCTTGAGATAAAGAGTTGTCTTGGGGGCCAGCCCGGTGGTGCAAGCAGTTAAGTGCGCGCGCTCCGCTGCGGTGGCCCGGGGTTCGCCGGTTCGGATCCCGGGCACGCGCTGACGCACTGCTTGGCAAGCCATGCTGTGGCAGCATCCCATATAAAGTGGAGGAAGATGGGCATGGATGTTAGCCCAAGGCTAGTCTTCCTCAGCAAAAAAAGAGGAGGATTGGCAGATGTTAGCACAGGGCTGATCTCCTCACACACACACACACACACACACACACACACAAAACAGTTGTCTTAGTGGGTTTTTTCAGTAAAAATGCTTATTTCTCCTCATATGAGTAATACATGCTTATTGTAGAGAAAATAAAAGTACATAAAGAGAATAAAAATCCTGATAATTCTTATCTCTCATAACATAGATAATCACTGTTAACCTTTTCATGTGTTTCTTTCCAGTTTTCTTCTCTGCATACATAGGTGTAAAACTGATATTATATCATTTGTAAAAGCATTGTCCCATGTCATTAAATATTCTTATATAAATAAACACATAAAACATTCTTGTATTTTAACCATTCTCCTATTGTTGAATATATAAGTTGATGATATTTTCACTGTCTAAAGTTATAACAAACATTTTTGTGCATAAGTATTTGTCTGATTTTCTATTTTTGTAGGAAAAGTTTTTAGAAGGAAACTTTCTGGGTCAAATGGTACAAATATTTTTAATGCTCTCGAGACTTCAAAGTTGATTTCCAGAAAGATTGAACCAAGTTCCACTCTCACAAACAAGGTGTGAGGTTGCTCATCTCACTATATCCTCATCTATAGTGGGAATTATAATTAAAAATAAGGCTAAAACCTTTTTATATAATAATTATCCATTTACATTTCTTCTGTGAATTGTTCATTCCTCTTGTGCATTTTTCTATTGGGATTTTAATTATTTTCTTATTATTTCTGTGAGGTTTTAAAAACCATTTTATTCTAGTTACCACGTACAATACAAGACACATAATAGGTGCTCCTTAAATAAATATCTTGGATTATTAGTTAATTGTCCTGGGGACTTTTTAGGAGCAAAAGCAGACTTTCTAGGAGGCTGACTCTTTCCTTTTCCCACCCAGGACACAGCTGGGCAGGAGCGGTACCGGACCATTACCACAGCCTATTACCGTGGGGCCATGGGCTTCATTCTGATGTATGATATCACCAATGAGGAGTCCTTCAATGCTGTCCAAGACTGGTATGAGATTCATTCATTCATTCATCAAACTGCTCATGAAAACCTAACATGTGCTAGGCCTTGTACTGTGCTAGGGAAACCCAGATGAATCTGAGATGGCTCCTGTCCTCAAGGAGTTCAAAGATGAGAGGAGAGGACTGATCAATAAGCAGGCCGTGAAAATATCATGTGACAGGTGCAGTGATGAAGAGAGGCACCAGGGGCTCTGGGAACTCAGTGGAGGGCTCTGACCCAGCTTGAGGAGTCAGGGAAGGTGACCTGGAGTTGCTGACGCATATGCTGCGTTTTGTGAGATGAACAGGAGTTAGCCAGAGGGGTGAATGGGTAAGAATGTTCCAGGAAAAGATGACAGATGGGCAAAGGCAAGAAAGTACGTGAGAGGATAGGAAGAGCAGAGGTCATAAACAATTTTGTGTTGGAGTAAGGAGTTTGGATTTTACCCTGTAGGTGGTGACATTTGAACAGGGAAACAACAGGTTCAGATTAATGTTTTAGAAGGATCATCTGGTTATAGTGGTGAACAAATTCCCATACTGTTTCCCTATAAAGTTTATCCCTGGGCTGGGCTGGAGGTCCAAGAACAAGTCCAGTCCAAGTTCGTAAAGTTTCAATATATGATGGAAATCAGCACAGCTCCCCAGAGGTACAGCCTCTGAGCAACTTATGTCTTTCTTCCTGGAGCATTACTCACAGGGAGAAGGGAGCGTGAGGGGAAGGACAGGTGAGAGAGAGGGGCCAGGACCCTGTGCCCCTAATCAGTGGAAAGGAGGAGGATGGGGGAAGGTGGAGCATCTGTGCCCTGGCCCTTCTTCAGAATCAGAGAGGCTTGGCAGGCCGGGCACACAGCAGCAGTGCTGGCCAGTGCCAAGCTTGTCTCCTGCTCCCTTCTACCCAACAGCTACCCTTTGAGGACTTTCCTTCTCCCAAGGAACAGTTGTCATGACTATGTGAAGCGCTGTTGGCATCTTGGGGCCTTGAGCTGAGAGTGACCTTGCAAGCTGCCTGCTGCACCCCCTGTTCTGAACAGCAGTCCAGGGTGCCAGCCCCATATCTGTCATTCATGGTGGTCTATGTTCTCCTTCTCAGACTCTCAGTCATTCTCTTCTTCCTCCTTTCTCCCCCTTCCCTTTTAATAACTTTCTCTCTACCTTCCTTCTTTCTCCTTTCCTTCCTCTCTTTTCTCCTCCTTCTTCATTTTCTTATTCCCTCTCTTCCTTCCAGTCAAGACTTTTCTCCCCTCCTCCCTTCCCCTTCCCTCCCCATCTTGCCCCCCACCTCCTACCATGAGTGATTAGCTCTTTCTTTAAGTGTCTCTACACTGCTCATTCCTTGTTGGCCTTGACCTCCTTCCCTTTCTCAATCAGTCCCTGTACATTCTGCCTCAGGAACATAGTGACTTTAACACCTGGTGACAATTCCTCCAAGAATAACCTGAGTTGCTAATCTGGGAGCTGAGAGTGGATGGAGGTGGGTGGAGGGAGGAAGATGACAGGAAGAGTAGCCTGGGACACATGGAGAGTTGCCTCCAGTTACCTGCCTTGAGGCCAAAGACTTAGTGTCTAGCTCTTTCAAGCCCTGGCCTTTGAGATTTGTTTCTGGGAAACTTGGTCCTAGCCTACCCCCACCTGCCATCTAAGCAGCAGTGCCCAACAAGGAATCTGGCTCTTTGTCAGCCCACAACAAATGGTAGTTGAGTAAATTCCATTCTTTGAGGGAATGGCTTCTCACCCTTAAAAAGAAGTTTGGTGATGAGATCAGCTTTAGGAGCCAGGTCAGTAACAGGTCCAGATTGTAGTTAGGGTTGAGTTAGATTGGGTGTCAATGTCAGAATAGGGTCATATTTTAGATCTGCTTTAACCATTTGCTGTCTTATTCATTCATCAGACATTCACTGACAACTTCTCTGCTCTGTGCTCTGTCCTGGGAGCTGGCACCCCAAACGTGAATAAGCCTGTCCCTGCCCTCAAGGAGGGGCAGATAAATTCAGCCAAATGTAACAGGTGCCACGGTAAAAGTGTAGGGGATCCAAAGGGGAAGTAATCGTTTCTACCTGATGGGGTAGTTGGGGACAGAGTTAGGCCCATCCCCACAAAAAGATGTCTCCACAATATTCAAATTTTCAAAAATTTGAAAAGTACAGAAAAGTATTTTTTAAAAGTTTAATAATCATCCTTTGTGAAGGAAACCACTGCTGACATTTTGGTTTCTGCGGTAATCATAATCTAAGGCCTCAGTGAAGGTTTATGAGTCACAGAGGAGGGAGAGGCTGGCTGGGCCAGGGAAGGCTCCCTGCAAGGAATTGTGGGATCAGCCCTGGGCCTTGGGGGATGAGTTAGTGTGGAGAAGGGATTCCCACTATAGGCAAAGGAACAAGTCATGGAAGAACATTTGGGGAATTGGTGAGAAGGTTTGTGGAGTAGGAGGAAAGGTGATGAGGCTGGAGAGACAGAACATGAATGGTCTTGAACGCCTAACTGAGGATTCTAGACTTCATTGCATAGCTAGTCAGAGGGGGCCAGAGAAGGCTTTTAAGCAGGGATGTATCACGGTCAGATAGACATTTTAGAAAGGACTCGCTGCCCAGTGAGGAGAGGGATGGGCAGATGCATTAGAGGAGGGCTCCAGGAACTGGGTGAAGTTTGCAACCAGGGATCGGGGGTCAGCATCTGTGAGAGCCAGCCGGGGCAAGTATCTGCCTGTCTGTCCTCAGCTGAATTGACTGACAGTAACTTGGATGTTGCTAACCCTGTGGAAGGGAATTGGCTTCTTGAAACTTCACGGGGTCCTTTTCAGCCTAGAAGGGTGTCCCTAACACGATCCTCTTTCTGTCTCTCTTTAGGGCTACTCAGATCAAGACCTACTCCTGGGACAATGCGCAGGTTATCCTGGTGGGGAACAAGTGTGACATGGAGGAAGAAAGGGTTGTTCCCACTGAGAAGGGACGGCTCCTCGCAGAGCAGCTTGGTATGTGCACAACACGTGTGTGTGCATGCACATGTGCATGGGAGTGTGACATCAAGGGTGTGTTGCGATTGTCAATTGTGTGCATATGGGCTCTGTGTGTATTGTTTTATATTTGTGTGATGTACATTTGGGCTTCGTGCTATATAATTCATTATTTATGATACATGTATATTTTGTTACATTGAATGTATAAGTAGAACTTAAATTTATAAACTCTTGGGGCCGGCCCCGTGGCTTAGCGGTTAAGTGTGCATGCTCTGCTACTGGCAGCCCAGGTTCAGATCCCGGGCACGCACCGACGCACCGCTTGTCTGGCCAAGCTGAGGCGGCATCCCACATACAGCAACTAGAAGGATGTGCAACTATGACATACAACTGTCTACTGTGCCTTTGGGGAGAAAAAGGGAATAAAAGGAGGAGGGTTAGCAATAGATGTTAGCTCAGGGCCGGTCTTCCTCAACAAAAAAGAGGAGGATTGGCATGGATGTTAGCTCAGGGCTGATCTTCCTCACACACACACACAAAAATTTATAAACTCTTTTTTTTACCAGCTCCTTCCACAAAGGATTTAAGGTGTCTTATAAAAATCATTATAATACATCAATAAAAAACTAGATAAGTGAGAAAATTGAAGCAAAAGGAAAGCAAGGGTAGGAGGAAAATAGAGGAAGCCAGGGGTGAGATTAGCATATATGTTGTAAATTCTTGGGCATGTGCAAGAGTTGGGCCAAAATATTGGCTTTGAGCTTCCTAGCAACCATCCCAAAGAGGGAAACATAATCAGTTACATGGTTCAGAGATGGTCCTTAAGATTAAAACAAACCCATTATTCCAGAGAAACATTGCTCTTCATTGGCAACAACAGAGCAGACTCTAAATGCTGCATGTGACAATGTCCTTAATATCAAACATCCTTACAGGAAGTACAACACTGAACATCATAGGCCGTGTCTTACAATTTCTCTCAATGTAAACTGATGCTTCCTCACCAAAACACCATTCACAACAAAAGTATTTGTATGGAGGGATGAAACAATGTGGTTTAAGTATGCAGCTCAGGGGCTGGCCCCATGGCTTAGCGGTTAAGTGTGCATGCTCCGCTACTGGTGGCCCGGGTTTGGATCCCGGGTGCGCACTGACGCACCGCTTCTCTGGCCATGCTGAGGCCGCGTCCCACATACAGCAACTAGAAGAATGTGCGACTATGACATACAACTATCTACTGGGGCTTTGGGGGAAAAAAAGGAGGAGGATTGGCAATAGATGTTAGCTCAGAGCCAGTCTTCCTCAGCAAAAAGAGCATTAGCACGGATGTTAGCTCAGGGCTGATCTTCCTCACAAAAGAAAAAAAAAAAAAGTATGCAGCTCAGGGATGCTCTGACTTTTTCCAAGGTTGAAGCATCTTGATCCTTGTGCTCCACTGAGACCCAGGTCCCTTAGGTATGTCTCAGTGGCCCCGTAGCAGGACTCCTACCTACACTCCCTTAAAATAGCAGCTTTTTCTTTTCTTTTCTGTATTGGCGTTGAGTGCAAAATCGCCTTAGAGAAATCTTCCTCTAGAAGAATGGAGGTACTGCTTAGCTTTTAGCCAGTCTTCCTGAGTATTTCTCACAACCTCGGTGTTGTAAGTATTGAGGAGTAGGGAGTTTAGAGTCATACTCTCTGAAAGTTTCTGAAGTACAGATATTTGGGCTGGTAGGTGGGTAAACTGTATAATATACGAGTGTGAATTGTGTGTTGTGTATATTTGTATTACATGTATTATGAGTGCATTGTGTGTGGGGCAGTGTCCTATACTTCTTTCTCCTCTTCTTTATTCCCCAGGGTGGCCTGGGGATAGAAATTAGCAAAATGTATGTGCTTAATAAACAGGGAGTTTGGGTCATCTTGGGTCTTGCTGTTCCTACCCCATCACAGAGGTTTTCTGGGTGCAAAAAGTACCTCCACCCATCCGTGGTTCACAGAACAGTAAGCATATGGTGAAGCCCACACTTGGGTGACCTCAGGCTATCTCTTTATGTCTTCAATCTACTGTTCCCAGGGAGACTCCCAGCACTCTCCCTGCACCGACTACGCCCCATCCGCTACCCTCATCAGCCAGTGAACCCCCACTCAGCTTTCAAAACAGCTCAAGCTTCCCATCTTCTATGAAGCCTTTCCTGGCCCCGCAGAGCTCTTTTCTTTGTGTCCCAATTTAATGTACCCATACACACAACAGTCACAGGACCCATCACGCTTGGCTGCACGTGTTTACTTGTCCATCTCCTGAAAGCTCCATGAGGACAGGAAATGAGTCTTGTTTATCTTTGTACCCACAGTGCCTAGCATATGGCCTGACCCTGGGTAGACACTGCAAAAATATGTTTTGATTAAATTTTTATTAAGTATTTGGCTACTTCATTTTACTTCAATCCAATTAAGACTTCCTAAGCACCTACTCTATGCCAGTTACGGTGCTGTGAAATAGGATACATTCCCTGGTCTGAAGGACAGAAGCAGTGATACCCCAGTGATCAGTGTTGTGGTAGAGGGGTGTGCCCGGGGATTGTGGGAGCACAGAGGAGGCACCTAATTCAGTGGGGGTCAGAGAACACGATGCCAAGCTGAGTCCTGAAGACAAGGAGGAGCAGCCAAGTGAGGAAGAGAGGCAAGGACATCCTGGGCAAGGAGAATAACACTGGCAAAGGCGAGGACCAGCACCGTGAGTCCGGGAAACTGAATCACTGGATCGTGTGAGCCTAGAGTAGCGTTTCCCAAAGACAGAGATTCATGTCACTGGAAGTGTGCAAGGTGATTTTATGTATATATTTTGATGTGTGTTAGAAAAAATATAATCAGCATGTCAAACTCTTAAACAAGACTGCTTTAAAAAGGTGAGTTAGTTTTATATTAGGATAAAATATAGCCAGCATGCCAGGCCCTTATGACTAAGATTTTAAAAAGACAAGTTGGGTAAAATATTTATTAGGTGTTTATCATGTGCCAGGCACTATTCTAAGTGTTTTTAAAGTATTACTCATTTAATTTAATCCCCCTAGAACTCTCTGAGATACATACTTTTCTTAATTCCAAGTTGCTTTTTTTTTAGCAGATGAGAAAACTGAGGCACAGAGAAGTTGAGTAACTTGCTTAAGTTCACACAGCTAGTAACAGGTAGAATCAGAATTTGAACCCAAGCAGTAGTCTGGCTCCAGAGCCAGTGCTCCTAACCACTTAACCTCACCATACAGCAACTATGGTAATAATAGGTGATATATGCCAGGCATTATATGAAAGGCTTTGTATTATCTCATTTAATTCTCACTATAACCCTTCAAGGTAAGTGCTTCAGGGCATGTCCAATACTCTGAAAAATGAAGTTCAGAGAGGTTAACTAACTTGCTCAAGGTTACACAGTTAGGATGTTGTGGAGTCAGTATAGATCTATCAAATTTATGTAGGAACTTAGACGCAAGTGAGGTTAATTCTTACTACAGGGTTTAGGGAGGCACTTGAAAAGGGCCTTAATGAATTGGTGAGATTTGGGCAGGTCAGGGTAACCCATCTCTGTCCTACACAACTTCCTGAGCTTTCCTCATTGCTTACCAGGACTTGCCTATCTACGTGTCTATCTCTCATCCTAGGCCTTGAAAGCAGCCGGAGTTATGTCTAATTTGTTTCATTATCCAAAGCACCTAGCACAGGGTAGATATTCATTCATTCATACATTTATTCACTTATTCATTGAAAAATATTTATTGAGTAAATACTCTGAGTCAGGTTCTGTCTTAGGACTTGGGATGTAACGGTGAACAAAACAGTTATGATCCTTACTGTCATGGAACTAATGGGGAAAGACACATAAATAATTATACAGATAAATATATAATTAAAAATTGTGTAAATGGGTGAATTGTGTGGTATGTAAGTTATATCACAATAAAACTGTTAAGAATTATGATAAGTTCTGCATGAGTTAGGACTCTTGTTATGGCAAGTGATAAGATCACAAATCAAACTAGCTTTAATTTAAAAAATGGAATTTATTAGCTCATAGCTGGGAAGTCCACTAGACCCAGGACTCAGTTGCACTCTCCATTTCTCAGCTTTGCTTATCCCTCAGCCTCCTTCTGTAGCCAGACTCTGCGTGGGGAATAAGATGGATGATGGCAGCTCCAGATATATATTGTTCCAACTCCTGCAAAAGGGCATCTTCTCCCTTCCAACTACCATATGTCAATCTCAGGGAAGACTGTGATTGGCCCCCTGTGAGTCACATGCCTGTCCCAGTAGCTAGGGGAGGCAAGTATTGTAACCTATAGTCCCACCACAACTGTTTACAATAGTGGTTCCCTAAAGGAGGGAAAGGTGGGCAGATAAGTTTCATAAGTCCACCACAAGTGCTATGAAGAAAGTGAAAAAGAGAGACCTAATTTTAGACTGGAGATCAAGCTCTTCTGAGAAAGTAACACTTACGCTGAGAACTAAAGGATGAGAAAAAGTTAGCCAGGCAAAGAATTGGGGAGGGGGAGGGGAGTGTTCGACATCAAGAATATCCTAATGTGGGTTGGAGCGTGGAACACTCATGAGACTGAAAGAAGGCCTTGTCGCAGGGACTAAATAACCAAGGGGAGGCTAGTGTGAGATGAAGGTGGAGAGGGAGGCAGGGGCCAGATCATGCAGGATCCTGCAGACCATTTTGCAAGAATGTGATCAGATCTGGGAACAGTGAGGGACAATGCTCAGCCTTCCTCATCCCACCCCCTAACCACCACCTCCGCCCCGCAGTCCTATCCCTCTGCTATGCCAGCTATTAAGTAAGTTTCAGTGCTCTGCTTGCCACTGCAGTGGTGCCATTCCTGCTCTATGGGATTCCTCTTCAGGACTCTCTTTTTTTTTTAGCTTTTCTCAGCTCACTCAGCCAAGACTATTGATATGGCCAGACTATTGATACAGCATTTATTCAAGCTATGAGTAGCAACAGGTCTTCTATATCCTCAAAGTGTCTGGGACGTAGGTGA